TGCCTGGAATGTACGAAATACCTGCTTTCTAAAAGCGATTACTTCCCTGAAGTTATATAGAATGTATACTGTGCATCTAAAATGAAAAATAAAATCTACCTGACATACAAGTTGGTTTTATACGTTCCACATTGTATTATAAATTAGAAGCCAAATTACAAGATGTTCTACCAATACAAAACACATATTTATGTAAAACGACACACGGAATGTCTCTTGAGCAGACGACTGCTTTTACAACTTTGTTATATTTATACTGTAACTTGAATTTTAAACTTATGTATATATAAATACGTTACCTAAATTTTGTTTGTATACATTTTACTTTAAAATATCAATATCTAAGCTAATACAAACTTATACTTGCACAATTTCATTTTGCTTTAAAAGAGAGGTTTACAAATCCGGAACTAAAGATCTGCTAAAAACATTTAAAAATTTTATCACCACCGCTGTTTTAACAGAAATCAAAAACTTCTCGATTTATCGAAAGGCAATTTTAGATACTTGGTCAGATCTTAACGAAATGCAAATAAATAATATTTATGAAATACTTTAGAAGAACATTTGATTCTGCTAAAAATCAGAAGATTTATTTCTAAAGCTAGTTAATTATTTCTAGAAACTTATGAGAGTTATTATTCATTTTCATATACTAACATAAAGCGACGAAAGGAAGTTGTTTTGAAGAGTATATTTAATAACCTTTATATTTTACGAGTATTAAGAGAGCTGACTAATAATTATCCAACGAGCCCAATGTGTACATCTGGTATTTAACCCACTTAAGTAACTGAATATTCCGAATCAGTCTCACTTCCGTTCAAGAGCTCCCTTCAAAACCTTAAAAGCTAATTACACTGTATGTATATGTCATGAAAATCTCTTCACTTATGTACGCAATCATACATGAGACATATTAAATTGCAGCACCTTCTGTGAACCCGGAAACAGACTTCATTAGCCTCAAACATAAACTGTAAATGAAGGCCATTTTAAAACACAGCCTATTTCTTTCCAAGATACCAAAGAGCTATAAAGAGCTATAAAAGATGGCATGCCTTTTTTTTCATATTTCAGTTTTACGCCTCAAATTATGGCAAACTACCAAATTTTGTAAAAATCGCACGAGTAGTTTTTAAAAAATAAATTAGCTCTCAAAATTTTAACTCCTCAATGTTAATTGAATTTGGTATATATTTATTATTCTGTCTTTTTTATGAAACTTATTTTATTCTCCCTTACACAATTCTAAATTTAGGTTCATTCCAAATAAAATTTGCCCATTTTTTATGATTTATTTTTTAAAATTTGTATTTTAAAATAATTTTTGTAAATTTTCGAAAAACATTTTGAATTATAACCTATAACATTTTTACCATCATCTTAAAGTAGATGTATTTCTAAGCATATCTGCAAAAAATTACAGTTTTTATTCAAATTTTCCGAAGATATACACGGATTTATATATCGGTGCGTTTTGAAATTTGGCATATTTCTTGAAAGCGATAATGCACTTACATTGCATATACTGTGGGTGCAGTTAATTTGGTCAAACTGGACAAGACATTGGAACTTGGTTAAATATCACAAAATCACGTTATTGACCTTAGTTGTAAATAACGTTATTGTAATTATTGCCCTTAAGCTGGCCAGTAGAATAGGTGCTATCATCTTGTTCCATGACGTTATGAAATCGCACGCGGCGCGAATGACCTAGCATAAGATTTAAGAATCACTTCCACCTTATTCATGAGACATTTCTTCAACGGATTATCATCTGATCCGATATACAGAACAGTTTCTGCAATTAAGGGCGCATCGATCGAAAACACAAAACAACTTAAAATAGGGCTCACAGGTATTTTGCCATACATACCACCTTTCTATTACAAAGAAGTTTTAGAACGCATGGTTCCAAAATGGTGAGCCATTATTGATAATGATGTCAATTTTTGTAAATGATCAAGGGATTATACGTTTTCTTTTACTACCGTTTTTCGTCTATAATTCCAAAACGACATCACCTTTTCATCAATTTCAGTTCTTAAAATGCTGTGATTTAAAGTTCCATAATTTTTTTATCTTTGGAATTATAACTGTAATTGTCTAAAAAAGCGTTGGGATTAAAAATATAAACTCACTTCGTAACAATTTATACCTTTATTTCAGTTCTTAGATAATTCTTGCGAAAATTTTCAGCATTATTATAAGCAATAAAATATACTTCTGCGTCATATATTTAGAATCTTGGTGCAGAATATATTAGTTTATTCATTTGTTTAGTGTTTTGTTAAATATTGTATACTTTTATGTTTGATAACTCTTATGTACATACATAAAATGAATTTCGCAAATTTAATTCTGCGACTAAGTTTATGAAAAATGTGTTTTAAATAGCACATTCCAATAGTTTGCAGGAAGTAATATAACAGTACTATTAGAATAAATGCATATGAAGCATATAATACTGACTGACGTTTATGTGAATAATAATCACTACGCTTAATCGAAGTAAGTCACAAGCATTTCTTTTTTTAATTTATGTAATCTTTCCGCGTTGTTATGTAACAGGTGTATTTATTGATACACCTTAAATTTTAATAAGTACATATCCTTGATAAAGGTGAAAGAGAAAAGGTCTTTGTATAAAACTAGGAAAGAAACTGTTTGTATAGTACTTCAAACGCTCACCGGCTAAAATGGTACACAGAAACCTTAAGTGATTCTTATCATTCATCTGCGTTGATAACATTATCGCTTTGCTTTCAACGTATTTTGATCGATATACGTATTGATAAATAGGTCAGTGCTCCTGTGTATTTTTTTTTTTTTTTTTTGACATTTGAAAATTGATTTAGTTTTACAGATTACACTATCTATTTAATTTGTTTTAAGATTATAATGTTAAAAATATTCATTCAAATATGTCAATAGTTTGAAGAAAGGCGTAAAGGAAAAATACCATCCATCATTTATAAGCTACATCTGTTTATGAGATCTTTCCTTCCGTCCATTTCAGCGATTAATATATACGTAACCCCCTTGAAGCAGAAACCTAATTTTTTAAATATTTATTAATTTATTTTATGTTGCAAATATTATGTAAAGGGAGGAAGTTTTAAAAATTGCCTTTAATCCAATACAATTATTTCCTTCCTAGCTTAGAATTTTGTTGTCCCAAGCAGTTATAGAGCAAGAAAAAGTATTTAAAAAGTCTAAATGATTAAAAAATGTAGATGAAGGAGACACGTGGTACCGTAAAATGCAAAATTAAATGTTCAGTTGTTGATTTAGATTTTCAAGAAGCTTTCTGCAATCATCAACATCCATAAACTCTAATCAGTGATTTTAAACCAAACCGAGTTTTCCAAAAGTTTTTAAAAGCATTTTTGGAATAAAAATATTTTTTATGTAAAAAGCATTTTTTATTTACAAATAATTTTTTACAGAATATGCATTTTATATAACTTCCTGATTAGTTCACTTTGTCAAAAAATGTTTCTTTACTTTAATGAAACTTTAGCTGTTAAAAGAGCCAAATTTTAACCTTTCTTCATTTTTGCTACTTTCTAAGGTCCCTTCAATTCAGTTTAAAAGCTTGTGTGAGATGAGAGAAAAATATTGGTCCTCGTTTTTAAGCCATATACTTATTTAGATTATTCTTACAACAGAAAAACATTTGTAAATATTACAGATCTGACAAGCATAACAAAAAACGGATAAGGTATAAACAGAAAAGCCAGTTTGCATAATTTCATAAAAATGGGCTTCAAAGCTGACAAGAAAAACACAAAAGATTCATGAGAGCTGTCTTTTATGAAATGTTATGCATACGAAATATTTTATGTCACACAGGATATATAATCTAAGATATATTTTACTAAAAAGGACATTTTAGAATTCTCCATAAAAGAAGTTTACTGTCCATTGAAACGTATATACATTACTTTATGAAAATTCATCCGCATGTTATACTATATGCCTTAAATGAGTTTCAAACTGTTATTTTACTTCCTTTAATACTGAATGTAAAAAAATAAGAATTTGTTAGTAGACTGCAATTTAAGAAGTTATGCTGCTAACAGCACCATTTATACACTTTAAACAAATATAAATGGTAGAAGTGATACGTAGACAAGAATTCTGTTATATATCTGGCATAATGCTTAGAGGAATTTTTACTGGGAGCTTGATAAGGAGATGATAATAAAGAAATAAATCTATTCTAATAAAAATAAAAGAGATCGTGAAGAATTCAGTAATGAGTTTTTATCAGTAATGAGTTGAGAAATTATTTGTAAATTTAATATAGAAAAAAATTATTTTAATTAAATTAAGATGTATGTTCTACTCAGTTATACATTGTTGACTAATGATTAAAATCTAATTTTTGATAAAATTATAATGTAGAACAGCTATATATATTTCCAGCAAATGGAAAATAATTTTTGTGGAATTTACTTAGTAGGAAGAAATTATCAAAATGTCTATGGTGTTTGAATCGAGACCTCGAAATATTACTTTTTTCCCAATTAAAAACATTCTCCGTTTTTTGATAGAACGGGAATTACAGCAATATCAAAAATATATAAAAAAACATCGGTACACTAAATTTAGTCTTTTAATAGCTTGTTTGGCAGTTGAATGCATCAATATATCTTAAAAGCTAAGTAAAAAGATTCATGTGTTCAAAAGCAAAACAAAATTAAAATTAAAATAAACGGTTAAACAAATCAAAAAATTACGCATTGAGAATATGAGTTTTCATCATGAATGAAAAGGGAAGGAAAAACTCATTAAAAAGTGTGGGACGCTTCTTTAAGTTCACGGCAAGCAGTTTATGCGTCATCTAGTGAAAACCTAGTTGTATTTACGGAGAAGCGATAATGTAAATAGTCGGTAAATCAGGTACCGAAAAACCTGGTAAATTGATTTAGCTGCGCTGTTGCACTGTACAGACGCATTCCAATGAAAAATACAAGTTATTTGACACTAACCTCCACCTGGTTTCAACACCAGATAACCCGCAATGCTTCGTCTGGCTGCCATCAGAAACGTGGCTACCTTCCACGCTCCCTGGGACCTGTTAGCCACTGCTTCTGCATCTTCCTCACCAGAGTACCACCTAGGAAAGAAAATAATGATTTTCAATCTTAATAAATGAAAAACATTCAACAAAGTAATTGAATATCGGGCTACAAAATCTGTCATTACAATAAGTGATGACAACATGACTTTATTCAAAATGATTTACTCAATTTCAAATACCTTTATTTTGAAATTTGCAATTACAAAGTGAGAAGTAATGCATGAAATGAAAGGTAAAGGGCATAAACTTTGCTTAAAAAAGTTTTTGTGACTTCCCGTACAACGTCAAACAGTAATCAAATTCTTGTTGTACTTATATTAGCATATTTTAACTTTAATAGTTATATTTTCTGCAACAATAACAATGTTTTTATTGAGACATTCACCATATACAAGGGATGGTGATAGCTACGTCCTTCACCAAAACGTCTGAAAGAAAAATATCGTGTGACGTAAGATCTGGAGACTTTGGAAAGCCAGCTAGAAAATAGTTTTGTCATCCGGTTTATTTTCAACACATCTAGTACCGATAAAGCCACTAACGAAAACAAGCATTGTGTATTAAAAAAATATTCTAACTTTCTGAAACTCGAAGATTTCCTTTTATTTAATCTGATCTACAGAATAGTAATAAATTATAGACGACATTTCAGCGACGAATGACAGGTGAACTATGAAACGTATCCATTCCCATCATATATATCATATATATCAAATTACACAGTAATTCAAGCATCATATATATCAAATTACACAGTAATTCAAGCATCATACATATCAAATTACACAGTAATTCAAGCGTCATATATATGTAAGATAAAATTATATGAATCAAAATTATAGTTTAAACTATAAACATGAATTCTTCCTCTTTATTCTAAAATCGTAATAACTTCTCTGCATTGCATCATTTCTACATCACTCTATGGCCCGCGCAGCTCTGATGACGTAATAATTGGGAACTGAAACTGCCATTGTAAACCAAAACTTTTCTCTTCGCCATGCTTCCATCTTTCATAACAACGCACTTCATCTTTGCTCTCTACGATGATAAGATGTAATTTCGCTGGCTTGCTTTCTATCTCAACAATATCAAAGATGTAAATCTTCTGTGGAAAGGCACGACTAGAGTGCCAAGTGATTGTGGCCACAAATATCAGTTGAAAATAAAAATTGAATTAAAACTGCCTCGACTGACAAGTTCTTTAGATATTACCAAGTTAGCATTACTAGCATACTACGCAATCAAAATCTTCTTCAATATGGGTCTAATCACGCATCTACAGTGTTAAGTCTTTTCCTTGTGCTTTTAATATTTCATATATATATCAAATTACACAGTAATTCAAGCATCATATATATCAAATTACACAGCAATTCAAGCAATGACTGAAAATAACACTATCAAATGTTTAAACACTTCAACGAGGGCTTCTTTTGTGTTGCGTAAGCTATTGCAGTCGATTTTAAAACTCTCGTGATAGGTTTTCAAGTGTGTTAACGTTCTAGAAAGTTCCAGAGTTCATTATTTAATTTCAAAAGTGTATAAAGTATTTTCTGTTTTCGCGCGCCTTCGTGGCATAACTGGAAGCATGTCCGACTGCTTGTAAACGAGAGGTTCGAAGTTCGAAACCCAGGGACAGAATTGCACATTTCTTACGCTCCTACATCGATATAACCTAATGACTCTACATGTGTCACGTAATTTAGTTATGAAAACATGGTCTTTTATGAAACCTCATATAAAGAACTCTAGAAATATTATATCAGCAGATCGAGCTTATCATGAGATCATTCATATAATAAATACTCTATACTCCTAAGTTTCTTTAAGAGAGAAATTTGCTAAATATCAAGTTCAAAATGTTTTTTATATTTAAAATATCATGATTTATTTATGAATCAGTGTTGAATTTAAACAACGTATTGCGAAAGTCATTAAAGCAGAAATGTCCAAAATGTTGGAAAGTGTATTGCGAAATACTGACTATTGATTAAAATATTGTCTTTAGCACTAAACGAATCCGCACTAACTTGCTGTTCTAACGCGTAATATAGTAATATAAATAGGCATTTTGTTTTCAGATTAGAGACTATTCATCACTGAAATGCAATTAGACATTCATAAACACTCTGTATATCATATTAATGTATTCACAAGAGTTATGAGATTATACTGATCTGAAATCGAGTAGCCCATTTTAAATAATATTATGTGTTTAATATTAGTAAGGAACCGATTAAATTATAGTTTCGAAACTCGTTTCAATTCAAATATATAGCTAGACATCAAATATTCGTGCAAACATACATAAGCTTCTCTTCTAGTCTATCTACTTAGGAACTCTCTGAAGGAAGTGAAAGAGTACAAAGTACAAAAAATCTATAAATACAGGATTTACGTTTAAAAATCTTTTTAACGATTTTTTGCTAACAGTATTTATATCATGATAAAGCATAGTTTCTTAGAATCTGTTGTATTTATAATGATAAATAAATCTCATTCTTCTTCTTAAGGTCTTCGTGGTGTAATGGCTAGCACGCTCGGCGCGTATTCGAGAGGTCCGTAGTTCGATTCCCGGCGAGGGCATTGCTCATTTTTCATCTCTTCTGCTTTCAAAAAATACCTAATGTCTCTACAGTGGCGCCCGAACTAAAAAAGGTTGGTAAACTGCCAGGATTTGACGATTGGGTCCCCTAATTCCCAGTCACCCTATAAAAGGGGAGTATATCAGGTATTTTCTCTCCCCCCTTTTCTGCATACCTACGTGGTGTAATATCCAGCACGCTCGGAGCGTATTCGAGTCCCGGCGAGGGTATTGCTGATTTTTCATCTTTTCTGATATAAAAAAAATACCTAACCTCTCTACAAGGTAACAGATATAATTAGAAAAATTATTTTTTTAAGTCAGATTGTTTAAAATTTTGAGGTCATTATCTTGAAATAAAAGTTCAAGGATTTTGAATTTAAGTGTATCGAAACTAATGATACAGCATACTCATATGATGTAATATTTTTATACCCAGTTTTTAAAGCAACCATTGAAGACATGCGTCGAATACACGAATACTAATTGTTTGACTTTGAAATGACTGGCACGAAAATTTTGTGTTATGCGATGAGTTAAGTTGTAGGGTTTATATTTATTTTAACTAACATTTATTTTAAGTTTAAGCTATCTTTCCTGTCAAGCCTTTACTTTGCCCTGGACTTGCCAATGCCAGAGTATGTAAATTTTAGTAGAACGCGCAGAGTATTCAAATTTATTAGCGGAATTTATTCAAATTTATTATTCAAATTTATTAGTTAAATAGAAGGAAAACGAGTTTGTAGGTGTGCTTTCTTGATTCATGAGCGTGAAGGTTTCTAGGTAGAAATTTAAGAATCGCTCGTTTCGGCCTGTGTGCTTGCTTCGGCAGTTAGTTGAATCTTTCAACTTATTCAGAAAGTTTGCTGAAATCTCAGCTGTATCTTAGAACGCGGTTAAATTAGTCACGTTTATAGAGCCTCGTAGGTAGTGACTTGTTATTTATTCATTTTTAGTTGTACTTTCTTTTTTTTACTTAAGCGCCGGATCGGCGTATTTTGTGAGAGTCAAGTGAACGCATCTGTAATTTCTAAAGTGGAATAAAAAGGGAGTTAAACCCTTCTTAAGAGTTTGTGTAATTTCCAGTTCTTAGCAGTCACTACTCCTGTTGCGGGCAAGTTGGGGCCACGCAACACCACAAAGTATTACGTGATTTTGTGTTGTGTGAGAGTTCAAAGTATGTAAGTGAGTATTTAAGATTATTTGAGAGATTAAAGTATTTAAATATGGGAATTTCTTTCGAACATGTTGGTACGAAATTGTTTCAAATGCAATACTGAGTAACAGTAAAAACTTCAAAGGAACGTAACTTAATGATTACATGTTTGTACTTTAATGCTAGAACATGAAGAAAAAACGGAATGAAAGGCTATGACGGACATTTAAATAAGCTACATGACACAAAATTTTTACTTAAGCTTTCGCCCAAAAATGTGGCATTATATGAGCATGCAATTCCATTAAAGATTATTAAAATTATTTCAAGCTTGTGTAAATCTAAAACTTTTATTATAATATAATTTTATTGTTCCAGTTTCTTCTGTTATTATTTGCAAAATGATTCATTAACTTGGATTTTAGTAATATTACTTTATTTTGTTATCCTTTAAAATAAAGCATATTCTAGCTTTTTTTATTTTAAAGGCATGGAAAGAATAGATAACAGCATAATATTCAATGAAAAAATTCCACGAAATAAATAAAGTTTACGATGTTTTCTTCTTTGTGAAATCATCTGTGTAAGCTACTTTTTCATGATGACAACTATATTTTATTTAAAATTTTCATTGACTACAGTTTATATTAGTTATGAGCATTAAATTACTTTAACAGAACCTTATCTGTTATAATAAAGACCGCAGTTTTAGATTTGCTCTAGTTACATATATTTCAATTTATATAACTACAAAGGAAATAGTCTTACAGGTACACTCAAATATAATTTTGGTGATGATTTCGCGCCTGGAACTATATAAGGTTTTATGTTAATTAATCTATTATTTTATCAGTTTACCTATACAGTCATTTCTACTTTCGCCAGCTCTTACCATGATATAAATTAGATACTTTTATATAAGAAGAAAGTTCTTGAAAGTTAGAAAGAGAGAGACAAACAGGGCTTTGGGAGTAACACTGACCGTCGTGCTATTTTCCCGTCCAGCTCTGAGCATTACTTTCGACAGGCATTAGCCTTTTTGCTAACCCAGTTGTTCATGCAAATTAAAACAGGCTGAGCGAAAGCTTCATAGGCTTTTATATATGTAAATCTACAGAATTACATTACATTCAGTTTTAACTTACATTTTTAGATTTTATGCGAATTGAATCCCGCAAGCGCGAGATTATTCCCTAATCACAAGTCGTGCATTTTTTAAGTTCAAAGTTTTAAATAAAAAGGTTTATTAAGAATTTCTTTTGGATTTGTAATTGCTTATGCAGATAGGGGACA